GGAGCCCACGAAAGTGGCGACAGCTGCGCAGATCGCAAGCCCACCAGGGGGCGGCGAGGTCCCGAGGTGGTCCGCGTGGGACCCACCTCCGCTGGGCCTCCCAGGAGCCCACGAAAGTGGCGACAGTTGCGCAGATCGCAGACGGCACGAGAGAAGAGGAGAAGGGAACACAGGAGACAGGAGGAGGAGAGGAGGAGAGGAGGAGGATGAGGTGGAGACCACACTGCTCGATTCAAAACGAGTACCCAACACCACAGGAGGGCTGGGAAATACCAACAAACTGCATACACATACACTGTTGAAGCTCCGCGCGGAGTTCTTGGATTTGCGCTGAACCCCTTCCCCTGGCGCGCCGAGGCACCGCCAGGGGGCTCCAGCGCAGACTCAAGAAACCAGCGAGGCGCGTCGAACATTTATGCTTGTGCTTTTCTTATTCGATCAGCAAGACACCGCTACTCTCTGGACCTCTCCCAGGGCGCGTTCTGACCAGGATTTCGAGGCGAGCCCAACGGTGGCGACGAGGGCCTCCCAGGGGGCACAGAAATGGGAAAACGGGCGAGGGGTAGCGGCATGGGTACTGCCTCCCTCCTCGAAAATTCCAGCGCCCTGACTGCAAGGATCGCCCCTGCGATGCCGAGCCAGTCCCCGGCGCGCCAGGCGAGCGGCGACGACGACGATGACGACGACGCCGGGCGAGCGACGGCGACGGCGATGACGACGGCGACGGCGACGACGGCGACGGCGACGGCGACGGCGACGACGAGGACGGCGACGGCGACGGCGACGACGAGGACGACGACGATTCAACGTGCGGCGACGACGAGGACGGCGACGACGAGGACGGCGACGGCGACGGCGACGGCGACGGCGACGACGACTCGACGTGCGCGCCTGGCCGCGCGGCGCCGCGGCCCCCCCGCGGGGCGGCGCCCGCTCCCCGCTCCGGGCGCGGGGCCGCGGGGCGCCCCCCCGCGCGCGGCCTGAGCTCGACGGGCGCTGGCGTCGCCGCCGCCGCCGCCGCCGTGGGCGTCGTCGTCGCGGTCGTCGTCGTCGTCGTCGTCGTCGTCGTCGTCGTCGTCGTCGTCGTCGTCGTCGTCGTCGTCGTCGTCGTCGTCGTCGTCGTCGTGGGCATGATCTTCGTGGTCGTGGTCGTCGTCTTCCTCCTCTTCCTCCCGTCCCCTCGTCCCCTCGGCCCCCTCCTCCTGCCCCTCCTCCTCCTGCCGCTCCGCCCTCCGCCGTCCTCCCTCCCTGCCTCCTGCTCATCCGCCGCCCGCCTCTTCCGCCTCAGTCTTCCAATGTTCCTTCCGTTTCTTCTCCTCCCCCCTCCTCCTCGGACTCCACCTCTTTCCCATGTGACCAATTCGCTGGCGTCGCACAGCCAGACGTGTCAGTGCGGCGGTCCGAGCGTTATTTCTTTGATTCGCACCCTCTGACCCGAAAACTTTAGACGCTCAGCCGCTACAGTCACGGGGTGCAGCGTTTTCTTTACAATGTCTCGCTCTCGCCTGTGTTTCCGTCGTATCGCATGCTCCTGCAGCTTCACCTTCCCAACAACTGCACGGAAGGAGGATACGCCGTTTTCGTAATCCTGGTTTCCCGATCGGCGAGAGCTAGCTGCTCTCGCCCGATCACCGTGACCTGGATTTCGAAATTTTTCCCCTCTCGTTTCTCTGCAATGACATACACCTCTCTCTCTCTCTCCTTTTGTTTCCTCTCTCTCTCTATTACTGTTTCTCTTCTCTCCTCTCTCATGTGTAAAACTCCTCTCCTCTCCTCTCCTCTCCTCTCCTCTCCTCTCCTCTCCTCTCCTCTCCTCTGCATGTTTCCTCGTCGCGCCCCGAGGCCAGTCGAAAGGGCGGACAGGGCGCTTCGCCTGAGACTTCCTTGCAACACGTTGCCCGAAAACTTAAACATTGATAGCCGTTTCACAGATGAGGAGCGGGCCGCTTCCAACATGTGGCTCTCGTTTTGGCGCCGCGGGCGCTCGTCTCAACAATTTGCAATAGCTTCACGGATTGAGGGCGGACCGTATTCAACATGTAGCGCTCGCTTGAGCGCCACGCAGGCTCGCTTTCAAACATGCGGATGGAGGGCGGTCGGTTTTCAAAATGTGTGCCTCTCGCGACGGGGACGTCGGCAGTCCGCGAGGCTCTGAAATAGCCCGCCGCACGCGGCTGAGTCTTGCAAATTATACAACGAGTCCGCCGAAGGCGCCGAGTTTTTCGTTAAAACAATGTGGGCGGGTCGCGGGGTTGGTCGCGGGTGGGTCGCGGGTGGGTCGCGGGTGGGTAGCGGGCGGATCGCGGGGTGGGTCGCGGGTGGGTCGCGGGTGGGTCGCGGGGTGGGTCGCGGGTGGGTCGCGGGTGGGTCGCGGAGTGGGTCGCGGGTGGGTCACGGGGTGGGTCGCGGGTGGGTCGCGGGCCGGGTCGCGGGTGGGACGACGATAACAAACAACAAACAGCGCAAGAGCAACTATCCGCACCGCGGAACCTCACTTCAGCCAACAGTGAAACAATTGGTTCGCGGTGTTGACAGCTCAGAAATTGTGTTCTGGCACGGTTCAAGATCACTTAAACGCAACAATCAGGTCGATTCGTGACGTTGAAGTCCCTAGAAACGTGTGTTGGCACGCTTCAGGATCTTCAAACGGTTGTCTCCCAACAGGGCACTTCACTCAATGGAAATGAACTCTTGTATGGGGCCTATCCGGAGGGAGCTCCAGTGAGAGTTTATTCTGACATCATTGATGAATCTTGGGTGTGCACTGGTCCCCCTCCTTTTCCTCCTCCTCCTCCTCCTCCTCCCTCCTCCTGCTGCTCCTCCTCCTCCCTCTCCTCTTTTTGTGCTCCTGCTCTCCTCGGTGACCTCGGTGACCTGGGAGCGCCTGGTCGCCCCACGAGCAAACGACGCACTACAACAAGGAAGACATGCAATCTGAATCATCAGACTGGGAACGACACCCACAGGAGGAAACAGGGGCGCTTTGTCCTCCACGTCCCTGGGTGCGTCCTGCACCTGGGCCAGCCACAGGGCATGGACCAGCCTGGGAGGGGGCGAAGGGGAGAGGAGGATGGGGAGGGAGGGGACAGGAGGGAAGGGACGAGAGGGGAAACGGCTGTCCAAGCTTGCGGGGTGGCCCAGGAACGTCCCCTTTGAGAAGATTGGACCTCTCCGAGCTCTTCTTGGAGACTGCATGGTCTGCGGAGCTTCTTGCCTTGTTTCGCCTTACATCTGCCCAGGGCGTTTTTCTATTGTTCCCCCCCCCCTGTCGCGTTTTCAGCTCGGCGTCTTGGAACACATTGTTCTAGCGTGTTCAGGTCTCCACCAAAAAACTGAAAATGCTGAACAACAACGATGCGTTGTTCAGCGTTTTCAGAAATTGCTTTAGCGCGTTCAATCTGAAAACACAAAAAAAACGCCAACCAACGCCAAACCAGTTACCCTAAACACGCTAAACAGAACGCAGCGTTGTTTAGCGTTTTCAGCCTGTCAAGACCCCAAAATAGAAAACGCGAACAAAACGCCCAGGGCGTGTTTAAGGCGAGCCCTGTTCTCGCTTCCACGCCAAAAAGCAAAGCCCCCGCACTGAACACAGAAAACACATGGACCTTCCGACTCCGACCTTCTCGCCCATCGCATTTTGTGACCAGGGCCCGACCCACCCTGGAGGAGGCTCGAGGGGGATTGGTTCACGTCTTCACACGGGCTGGTGGAGTTCGGACTCACAACACGAAGGCACCTCTGACATCGCTAGACATCACCATGTCGCACAAGGATCTTAGGGGCCCTCGCTCCTGGAGGACGAGAGACCCTCTCAAGCTTGTCTTCCTTCTCCTCCTCCTCCTCCTCCTCCTCCTCCTCCGCCTCCTCCCCCTCCTCCTCCTCCTCCTCCTCCTCCTCCTCTCCTCCTCCTCCTCCTCCTCGGCCTCCTCCTCCTCTCCTTCTCCTCCTCCTCCTCGTCCTCCTCCTCCTCGTCCTCCTCCTCCTCATCGGCCTCCTCCTCCTCCTCCTCGTCCTCTTCCCTCCCTCCCTCCTCTCCGCCCCTGCCTCTCCCCGCCCAGGAGGCTCAAGCCCTCCCCGCGGCAATGCGCACCCGCGGGTCGGCACGCGCGCGCGGAGCACGCTCCGGCTTGGTCTCGCAGACGCAGTGCTCGGCGACGACATGCCGGATCTTCCCGACGAACCCGAGGGACGTGATGAGCATCAACCTTCACCGCCGCGCCGCGCCCGCGACGCCCCGCCCGCGGTGACGAGCGCCGACTGGCGAGGTGGATGCCCGGCTCTTCCTCCTCCTCCTCCTCCTCCTCCTCCTCCTCCTCCTCCTCCTCCTCCTCCCCTCCCCCCTCCCTGCGTTTCAATGCTTTGTGGTGTACGCCTCCCCCACACAAGGCCACGCCATGCTCTGACATGCTACGCTCTGCCGTGCTCTTCTAAGCCATGCTATGCCGTGCGCTACCATGCATCGCGCACCCTCTCGGAATCATTGTCCTGCTCGACATCCGACTGCGCGAATAGAGAGGTCTACGCCATGGCAAGGGATGGGAGGGAGGGGTAGGACGTCAGATATGATGGGAGCGCACCTAGCTTACCCCTCCCTCTCTTCCCTCTCCTCTCTCTCCTCCCTCCTTCCTCCGTGCGCCTCCAACGATACCTCCGTCCTCGCTCCCTGGTGCTCCCCCCGATGCCTCCATCTTGCATCCTCCTCCTGATCCTGCTCCTGCTCCTCCCGGTCCTCCATCTGCGCCAGAGCCCATACCCTCCCACAAGAAGAAAGACCACTGAAGCGGTGCTGAACCCGTCCCTCCTCCTCCTCCTCCTCCTCCTCGTCCTCCTCCTCCTTCTCCTCCTCCTCCTCCTCCTCCTCCTTCTCCTCCTCCTCCTCCCCTCCTCCTCTTCCTCACTAGGCCCTCGTCCCTCTCCTCCTCCTCCTCCTCCTCCTCTTCCTCAGCCTCCTTCCCCCCTCCTCCTCCTCCGCCTCCTCCTCCTCCCCACTCCTCCTCTTCCTCACTAGGCCCTCTTCCCTCCTCCTCCTCCTTCCCCTCCTCCTCCTCCTCTTCCTCCTTCTACTCCTCGTCCTCCCTCTCCTCCCCGCTCTCTTCCTCCATAGGCCCTCGACGCGTGTTTCTCCGATTTCCTCACGGAGCCTCGGGCAGATCTGCGCATCCCCTGGCGAGCTGGCAGGACTGCCAGCAGAAGAGACGCACGGAAACGGGGCCAGTGGACTGGGGGCAGGGCCCCGCTCTGTTCCGCAGCGGCTTGGGGCGCGCCCGTCCGCGGAGGAAATCGCGCACGTTGCTCCGAGCATCGTGTGAAGATCGGTCTGAGTTCAGTTTCTGCCAGTCTGGTTGCATACAGTCGGACTTCATTGGACAGGACACGCGAGAGGACACAAGACCCTTCCGAGGGCCACATCGCCACTGGAGTGTAAGAAGGCACGTGTCGCGAGGCACAGGACACAAGGGTACCCTTGATCTGGCAGGGTCGACCTACAAATCCGGGCCGCCTGTACACAGTTCAGCACAGGCGGGAGAGCAGGGTTTCGGCAGCGCTTCCCCACCTCCGCAGCCATTTGCCTCAGAGGCCCCACGGGGGGCCGTGCTCTAGCAGCACGCATGTTGCACTGTACGCGCGCTGAGTCCAGGACCAGAAGCCACTGTGTGGGGATAGGTGTGAGGGTGATTTTCGGACCATACCTCAGCTCTCAGGCGGCCGCTCGGACGATCTTGGCACCCCCAAAACGCCATCGGCGACACGCAGCTGCTGGAAGGCATCCCACGGCTGGAACATCGCTGAGAACTAGCGAAAACGTCTCCTGGACTCCTCCTCCGCCTCCTCTTCCTTAGGAGGGGGCGACGCGCTATGCCTATGCCTTGCAAGCGGAGGCGTCCTCCCCCTCCTCCTCCTCGTCCTCCTCCTCCTCCTCCTCCTCCTTCTCCCTCGTCCTCCTCCTCCTCCTCCTCCTCCTCCTCAGCCTACCCCCTCCTCCCCCTACATCCCCGTCCTCCTTTTCCTCCTCCTCCTTCTTTTCCTCTTTTTCCTCCTCCTCCTCCTCCTCCTCGCTCCGCTCCGGAGGACGTTGACGCCTGGGAAATGGCGACGTGGTTCACATGTCGCGCCGAAGCTTTGAAACCAGAACCAGCGGAGCGAGACGGTGAGACAAAATTCCTGATCGTACGAAGGGGCCCTGCCTGGTGAAGCCGCAGCATCTTAAACTTCCAGGATGGCTGGGGAAACCAACCGATACCTCTACTCCCCAGACTTTCCCCATGGGTGCTTCCCGACCAGCATTCCGAAGCGAATCCAGCCCTGCCAGGATCAGACAGCATCGAATCGAACAATCGGATCGAGACTACATGCGCGACCGATCGGGCTGCATCGGCACGGCGTCGACATCGAACCGAACTGCCCGCGCCAGGGTGCACAACAACGCCGCGCAAAGGGGCGGCCTTCCGACCGTCGGCATGCCGGAAGCGAATCGGATCGGGCCGGCCAGAATCGATGTCGAATCGGATCCCCCGCATCGAGAAAAGCCATGGCCATGGCGACGAGGGCCTCCCGGGAGGCTCAGGATGGCGCAAGCCAGGCAGGGGTACAGTCGGGGCGTTGACCTAAGGAGCGATAAATAAGGAACGAGGCCCCGTTCTCCCATGAATTATTAAACTCCGGTTTTCCATGGAAAACCTGGGGAAAACCCAAGAAGCGCTGTAAAACAACTCAGGAACACGGAGCCCCTCCCAAACGAACAGGGTTCCTTCTTCAGCGGCCCGACTGTAGCGATATCGGTACCTTTTCTTGGTAGTCCCCAAGCGTGGTGGTGACACCACCTGGCGGTGAGTCCCAGGCGATTTGATGTGTCACCACCTGGTTTGGGGACGCGTGTGGTTTTTCGAAGACGTCCCGAACGCTGGCGGGCCCAGGAGTCACACATCCCAGCGGTGACCCCGTGCTCAAAAACCAGGCGGTGACTTGTTGGGGATTCCAGGTCACCACCTGATATCTTTGGCAACTTTGGGGATGCCACGACAATGGACACCCTAAGAGTCCTATCATCGAATTGGCAATTGTGCTTAAAATGTCGGAATAATGTCCAGAACATGTTTAAAACATGTGTTTTTACACGTTTCAAGGAGTTTTACAACATGTTCTAGACATCTGGAAATTATTTGGCAACATGCTTCCTCTCCATTGATCGTCCTCCACAATGATATCTCAACGCAGGAGTGGCCCTGGGTAAGAGTGACCTTTGGTGCACGACTTTCTCGGGGCCGCGGGGGGACCAAACCTGGGCGCGCAAGCAGCTGCTGCTGCCTCGTCTCTCACCATCTGGGGACCCATCCGTGCCCGCACCAAAAAGGTCACTCCGGCGGAAGGTCACTCTTACGTCTAGTCGAGTTCGGGAGCTCTACGAAAGCAGCGTCTTCCTTTTGTAGGCCTGCACTGTACTGTCCTGCAGCGCGCGCTGCATGACCGACGGGTCGAGGGGCTCGTCGAAACCGAGCTTCTGCCCCGCCTTCGCGTCTCACTGCAACTGCCAATGGGATTGAAACAGCTTCTTGATGGGATTGAAACAGTTTGGGAGCTCTCGATTTTCCTCCTCGGAGCTGCCCGGCGGAGCCGCGGGGTCTTGAGCTCCCGGCACACGGCGCCCAGCTGCACGCAGGCTCTCTCGGGCAGCTGGCAGGCGACCTCACCGGCGGAGGGGCCGGCCGCTCGAGAGAGGCACTCAGGGCGCTCTCGGTGGGGTCGCGCCGCCCTGGCCAGGGGTCACTCCTCCTCCTCCTCCTCCTCCTCCTCCTCCTCCTTCTCCTCCTCCTCCTCCTCCTCCTCCTCGTCCTCGTCCTCGTCCTCCTCCTCCCTCCATCCTCGAGGTTACGTGTTTTTTCTTTGTTGTTTTCTGTTTCTCTTTGTTTCTCTCCTTTTTTGCATGATTGTATTCTACCAGGTCCCGAAGGGCGAAAAAGGTCTCCGGCCCCACCGCCGAGCTGTGCCCTGGGGCCTAAGAGCTGGCAGGGCCGCTGAAGCAGACTCCCCTCCCTTTTTTCCTCCGCCCGGTCCTCGATCGATTTCTCCCCCTCCGCGTGCTGGTGTTGCTCCTGCTGATGCTCCTGCTGCTGCTCCTGCTGCTGCTCTTGCTGCCGATCCTCGTCCTCGTCCACATCCTGAACAGCAGGCAGGCCCGCGACGGCCATAGAGACTAGTTGGGCCAGCCAGATCACCAGACAACGCAGACAAGGAACAGTAACCGATCGACTACCAACCAAGACCAATAAACCAACCAGGCAGGCCAGACCGACTGGACTAGACCAAACCCACCAGATGAACCACTCGATCGGCCAGAGCAGACCAGACCAGACCAAGCAAACCAGACCGACCAACACAGGCCAACCCACCAAGCAGAACAAACCAAACGAATTGAATCAACCAGGCAAGAGGAGGAGCCTGCGCAAAGAAACCGATGGGACCAACTAGTCTGGATAAGATCCGAAAAAATCGGGTCGGCCAGACCAACCAGACCCAGCCACGCCAAGCCAGGAAGACCAACCAACCAGACCAACCGGATATCGGAGCAGCCACCTGAAACTGACAATGCCAAGCAGATCAGCGAGACGAGCCATGCGAAGCACAACATCCGAGGAGGGACCACCCCAGATCAGTCAGACCAGGCCTGAACCTTCGCCACAGACACACAGACGGCCAGAGGGCTTCTGAGAAGCCCCGCCGCCTTCTGATAAGGCCTGCTCCTTCTCAATTCCCCTCCTGAGCACGCCGCGGAGCTGCACGATCAGCTTGGGAGGTGGTCGAGTGAGGGGATGCGGTCTGGTTTGATGAGGTGCCCAAAGAACTTACACGGCAGCTTCTACGAGGCGCCCCGGAGCTCCACCTTCTACGTTGTCTGAGTCGAGCATCTGCTGTTCCTTCGACGTGCTGGGGAGGCCTGGCCCAGCGGGCCGCTGCCCCTGCAAGCTCATCGGCCGCCTGGTCGGCGGTCGAGTCCTCACGGGTGAGGTGTCTCCCCTCCTGGTCGGCCTCCTGAAGAAGAAGAAGAACAATAAGAATCAGAAAAAAAAACGCCATAAGCATAAACTTTCGACGGACCGCGCGGAGTTCGTGGGTCTGAGCTGGACTCACCTGCCTGGCGCGCGGAGCGCGCCCAGGGCGGCGCCGGAGGCGCCGCCAGGGGGCCCCGGCGCAGACCGAAGAGACCCGCGCGGAGCGCCAAAAGTTTATCCTGATATGGCGTTTTTTCTCCCTCGCGTATCCGCCCCTCGCGCTCGACCAGCGCTCCGCCGCCCGGCGAGGCGCCCCGCCCGCCGCGGCCGCGGCGGGGCGCACGTCGAGGGCGCGCGGGGCGGGCGCACGACGGGCAGGAGCGGGCGCCGGCGGCCCAGGCCTGCAGCGGAGGCAGCGGGCCTCCCGTGCCGAGTCCTCCTCCAGCTGGCCATCGCTCGGACGTCCCTTCCCTGTGCTATTTTTCCGTCTCGCGCGTGGCTTTGTTCGCCACATGATCCAAGGATGCTCCTCGAGGGTTCTCGCCGGAGGAAGAATGCACACGCCCGAGCGATGCCGAGTCCATAAGGAGGGCAGAGAACTGTGCGCATACACCCCTTCTGGCCAGGCTCCAGAGAACTGTGCGCATACACCCCTTCTGGCCAGGCCTGGCGCCCGAGTCCCGGCTCGGTGCGCAGGCCGTCCTGCCTGGGCCAGGAGGGCAAAGGCACTGATCCTGTTCCAAGGATGGGCCTGGCCAGGATCGGTGCATGTGCATAGTTCTCCTGCTCCTCCTCCTCCGCCGCCTCCTCCTTCTCCTCCTCCTCCTTCTCCGCCTCCTCCTCCTCCTCCTCCTCCTCCTCCGCCTCCTCCTCCTCCTCCTCCGCCTCCTCCTCCTCCTCCTCCCACTCCCTCATCATCATTCTCCTCCCACTCCCTCCTCATCATTCTCCGCTTCCACCACCTCCTCCTCCTCCTCCTCCTCCTCCTCCTCCACTGTCTTCGGCTCCTCGTCCTCCTCCTGCTGCAGTCGTGGCACTGCCGCAGGGCACGCCACACAAGGATCGCGGGGGCTTTTTCTGGCCACGGCGGGCTTCGTCCCCGAACAGGTTCCCCGACCTCGGTGCAAGGAACAGCCCAACGACCCGAGCCCCTCCTGAGCCCAGAGTGGTCCTTCTGTCCACGCCTTGACTGTTACTCCTCTTCTCTCCACCCAAGAGAGGGTTGCTGGCTCTCTTGGTGGCAGCTCCGTCACTGGGCCCGCTTCAGGCACGCCTGTTCATACGGACCGCGCGCGGCTACATGTAGGCCACTCCCTGATGGATTTGTCAGTTGCCTGATCTCGCTGGTGCCCAGGCCAGCTGTGAGCGCCGTGACGTTAACGAAGAGCCAGATCACAAATGGCCGAAGAGTGGTTGGACCATGTCGGCGGATAGGGGTGGACTTCAGCGCATAAGACGCCCCTTACCGAACACACTCTCGGACTGTGCCCCACTCTCGAGCGACGCCCACGATCGCTGGGAAACAGCAGTGATGATAGAGTCTAGGTGCTTCGCCAATCCACCAAGCGATTGTATCCGAATCGAGGGATCAACGACCGCGCGACCATGTAGCTCTGCGAGAATAAAAGAATTGCACGGTCGGAGAAGCGGAACGAACTAAGCATGAGCAAGTGAGAGAATAGAAGCGGTAGCCCACTGATACAGGCACACGCAAAAACACACAACAAGTAATTGAACTGGATGCGACACTATCAGCCGCATATTCCTGTAAAGATATCGCTGTGCGGTTTTCACTTTACATGCTATGCTTCCATGCTTCACTGGACGGTGTGAAGCCGAGTGGGGACACCAGCAGCAGTTTGGCCATGCTCGCCGATGGGCCCAGCAGTGTGAAGTCACACTAGCGCTGCAATGGTATGACAAGCGAAAGTAAACAACTCATGAAAGTACAAGGCATACCTTCTGAATGAAGCAGGAGCAAACTAAAGCAGTGACCACCAATGTGAAGGGCTTGAAGAACTCTGCACCCTGTGCAATCGCCTGCAAGGCTGGTGTCAACAAACCCAAACACACACACGCACTAGCGATGCTGCGGTATGCGCGCGTGTCATGTGATTCACTCGAACGCTCCGCCGTCTGTGAGGAAGGGCATGGGGAGGTGAAGAAGGAGGACGGCAAGGGGAAGGACGATGATGGTGGGGAAGGCATGTGAAGAGAAGCTCAGGGAGGACGAGATGACATGCGCAACGATGGGAAGGAGGGGGAAGAAGATGAGGAGCTGAGGATGAGCAGACGGGTGCGAGACCGAGTATGGCCATGATAAAGATCAGCGTCACAATTGAACACGGTCGGACCTAGGACAGAAGAACATCCTTCAGGAACATGAGGCCCTCTGCCGCCCGAAACACCCCGAACCATGAGGTGACTCGAGGGCACCCTAACCCCAGGATGCACGAGAACATTAGGCATCCTCCCCGAACCGACCTTGATGTACCTCGGCCCGACCGTGGGAGGAAAAAGATAATGAGGAGGAGGAGAATGAGGAGGAGAAGGAGAACATGAGGGAGAGCGAGAGAGAGAGGAAGCTCACGGGGCGTCTCGGAGGAGCACCGGAAGCTCTCCTCTCCTCCTCCCCTCCCTGCCCGTCCCCTGGCTCCTTCCCATCCCCGCCGACGGTTTCGTAGTCGCCGTAGTCGTCGTCGTCGTCGTTCTCGTCGACGTCGTTCTTCTCTTCGTCGTCGTCGTCGTCTTTGCCGTCCTCCTCCTTCCTCATCCTCCTCTGCCTCAACCAGCCGGACCAAGAGCGGATTGAAAGATTGGCCTGCGCAGGATCTGTGCCGATGTGGCTCCCCTGGACGTCGGGATTCATCTCCTCGCCGAGGAGGGCCGTGAGGGGGGAGGACGAGAAGCAGCAGCAGGTGTAGAGAAAGATAAAGTGGAGTAGAAGGAGATGATGAGGAACACCAGGAGGGTGCTCATGAGGATGAGGATAGGAACGATAATGAGGATGAGGGGAGCAGCGATTGAGGAAGCGGGGGAGGGAGGAGGGAAGGATCAGAGGCAGCAGCGGGATGAGCAGGAGCCGACGTGCATAAGCATGAGGAGCCTGAAGGAGGATGGCGACGAAGAGGACAAGGAGGACTGGCAGGACGAGGGTGAAGTCGTGTTCCTGGCTTGCTGCTGCTGCTGCGATCAGCCACATGGGAGGCAGTCCCGGCGCGACTCTCGCTTCGCGGGCTCAATAGCTGCTACCTCCTGCCGGCGAATCTGGTACTCCTGCTCCTCCTACTCCTCCTCCTCCACCCCATCATCACCATCATCACCATCACCATCACCATCATCATCATCATCATCATCATCATCATCATCATCATCATCATCATCATCATCATCATCATCATCATCATCATCATCACCATCGTCATCATCATCACCATCATCACCACCGTCATCGTCATCGTCATCGTCATGATGAGCATCATCACCATTGTCCTCGCCATCATCCTCATC